TCCATTTTCTTGTGTGAATTTGTGAGATTTGAGAGTAGAATAATGAACTCTTGTGTGAGTTCATATGTGTAGTGGAAGGATTGTGAACATTTCTACTGGTTTTGTGGTTTTTGTACTGTAACTCGTTCTTACCTATTTTTGGGCGATTTTAGTGGATTTGAGCTTATTCCTAACGGATGCTCAACGGGGATTAGGCGTTAGAAGTGGTTGCTGAACCTTGGGGCCTTTGGGCCGAAAAATCTTGTGTTCTTATTATTTTTGATTGATTTATTTTCTATTCTTGTTTACAAATCGAAATATAAAATCGTATTTGGGACCAACTGTGATATCAGAGCTTAGGGAAATTTTTTTTTCGATTTGAGTTATTGCTTTCAGATCTAATTCGTTTTTGGAACACGATTTTAAGAAATTTTATTTTTCAGATTTGTTCAGTTTTGTTTACAAAAGTTCTGGTGTCTCGATTCTCTGAAATTTTTGTGGATCTGGAAACTTTACTTACAGGAATTGCTTAACTCGCCTTTAACTCGTTTTTGATCTGTTGTTTGGCCACTGAGTTCTTATAAATCAGTTCAACTCACACTGAGTTTAGCGAGTTGGGTTGAGTCACACCGAGTTTACATCGAGTCACACTGAGTTTACCATTTGCAGTATACACGTGTCATTTATCTTTGCTGTCAAGTATCACAATATATATAACTGATATTTTTAAAGATTTTGGAATCAAATTTTCTTTAAAATTAGGGTTTTGAGAATCTCTTCTAACTCTACCTTTGTTTAGGGGTCCCTGTGAGAACCCTAGAATCTGAGGGGATTAGGTTTCGATTCAAGAAACCAATTCTTCACAAAAGTTTTCAAAAAACTTGTTTCTTGCAATTGTGTAGATACTGTGATATAGAAAATTCTTTAATTCTGTATTGATTTCTTGGTTATACTGTTGACCTGTTCTAATAGTGGAATTGATCTATTCAGGGGTTGAGATTATTGTTTTTGAAATTGTTCTTTGCAGGAGGTACATTTTTCTGAACCCCCTCTGTTTACTGTGTGTAAGCATAATTGAATAGTATTTTCAATTCCTGTGAGTAATCTGTGGATTATTCTTGCATACTGCTGTCTTATTAAATTTGATTATCTGTTATTGTCGACTGAGATATATCTTTGGCTATATCGTATCTGTACACT